CAGCAGTGTCCATTCAATGTAGGCTTCCACAGCCTCCCCAGGTAGGATGTCCTTGTGGACATCCAGGGCTGTCTCTTCTACTTCAGTCCAGTTTTTTGTCCCCAGGGGACGTGTCACATGTGAGTTCCCAAGTATCCGAGTAGTAGCAGGGAATCTGGTTAAACAGCCCACCCCTACAGACTTACCTCCTCCTGAAGCTCTCCCCGCAGGCTTGGACACTCAGCACAGCCTCCTCAATGAGAGAAGCAAGTTCAGGACCCAGCAGTGAGCTGGCCGCTCAGGGTCCAACTGCAGCAGCTGGGGCAAGTTTAAAGGTAACAGGAATGGAATGTGGGGCTCAGGCTTCTCTGGTGGGGGAGGGGTGGCGGGAGAGCAGCCTGGGTGGGGGTGGGGAGACATTCTGAGGCTCTTGCAGTGGGGCAGAATCTCAAGTTCTCTTGAAGTTGAACTGTGGCAAAACAGCTGATGTGAGCTCCTCAGGCAGTGTTAAAGTAGTCTCTGATTCCGCACACCGACTGTACTTGGTTCCTCCTTAACTTCTGTTCCATATCGATATACCTACTCTTGGTTCCTAGGCCACCCTGCTTCCCACCTGTGGAGGAAGGTAGGCTCCTAGCTACATTCAGGGAGGCACTTTCTCATCAAATTTCAGAACACAAGATGTGATCAGCACAGGCTTGCTCAGGGAGAAGAGGGGACCTTCTGAAAACGAGGTACCAGCGGATCCGTGATAGTTGCAGTGTGTGCACTTCATCCTGAGGGAAGCAGTCTGCATCCCCAAGTCCTGTCCACTGCTGAAAATGCATTTCCAAGGAAAGTCTGACTTCTGATGTCCTCTGTAGGAACGCCTCTGTCCATCAAGGACTGATATTGAAGCTTACAGACTAACTCAGGAATCCCCTCCCCAACCTTTTATTGTACTGACAGTGTGTGTTGTGAAATGTATGCTGTTTCTCCTTTTAATGCTTTTCATGGAGTATTGTAACGTGCAAATGTTTTTGTATTTCAAAAGTCAAATGGAATACGCAGGGAAGGGGCTTCCTCCCAACAAAGTATCCTGGTCACTTTTCCCTTCCACAGGAAATTTTTGAGATGTGTACATTTTTATCTAAAAGTATTTAGACAGGAGTTTTGTTTATGAAAACACTTTCAATTAGTTTCTGATAGTTCATTTTACTGGTGTGCAGAATGAATGTGTGTTACTTGTGGTTACTTTCTTTGGTTTGTAGGATAGGTATTTAGAAAAAGTGGGCCTTTAGCTCATAAATATTGCAGGTACTCCAGATGGTGTTGAGTCTAGCAGTGAAGAGGTCCCCTTCACGTACTGGAGTAATTGGGCCTTCCAGCCTTCTGCCGATGTGCACCCTGGGAGACCACAGATGATGCCTCAAGTTGTTGGGTTCACGAATCCAGGTGCGACCTGAAAAGAACTGAAGTTCCATGCG